CAAAGTTTCAATGCATATGTGTGTCACGATTGTTTTCGTGCACGAAAATGCACATCGTTGTTCAAATAGGTATATCTATTTCCAGTCGCACATAGCACAGGAAATCTGTTGATCTTTTAGCTGGCATTCTTGGTCAGGCCATTGAGACGACAACTGAGTCAAGCACGAGCTTGTTCATTAGGACACTCACCTTGTTCTAACAAGTCATTTAGACGAAGATCTTTTTCCATAATTCATCTATGGATCTGAGCACGTACATTTCAACGGAGTGGAACAAACGCCAGGTCGCGGCCCCTGAACCTTAGTTGATTCGCGTAGAACATCTGATCTAGATGCTTTCCAGAAACAAGGCTACACGAAGCTATTTCACTGAGGGGGTGGAGCCATAGATATGACCTGTATGTGGCCATCATTCGCTCTCATACGGTCCTCGTAGAAGTCTGCGAAATAATCGGTTGTGTCTATCCCTTCCTTCGCCTTAATCTAGGTAAATGGTATAAACCAACTGAGCTTTCAGAAACTAGGGGCTCATGTGTGAAAAAAAGAGTTTACAATTTAATCTGGCTATAGGTAATTTCCTTTATAAATTAATAGTGAGACATCTGCTGTTGGAGGTTGTGTTTAATGTTTTATAAATAAACGGATACAACCAATGCTGTATGATAATTTAGCCTCTCAGAGTAACTTACTTATATAACTTTTAATAGATCATTGTTTTTTAATTTACTTTAAGTACTCTCAGTAATTATTTGTATTGAATTTAACGTGAGGCAAAGCCTTTATGAAAACCAGTAAAGGCTTGATTGGTAGCCTTTATCGATAATTTCAAAAATTCTCCATAAGATACACTATTACGGCTATAACTATAGCGACGACTATTACGTCTAGCAAATTTAGCAGTTTAAATGCATAATTTCGGTATAGAATTCTACGTAACAAAATATTAATCGTACAACATTTGTCACAACTGACTTCCTTACCATCAGCTACCTGTAGGCTCTATATTTTAATTAGAAGCACGATTTAGCTAATAGTTTTCCAGAAAAACGCGTGTACTTTGTATAATAGTAAACTATAAGTGTACTTAGTTTAATACGCACGTTTTAAAATGGGTCACGTTGCAATAAATGGAACTAGGCATCTATCAAAAAGTTAGATTTTATATTTGGGCCAATACATGTAGGCTTTTCATAGAGAATTAGCGCGGTAAGCCTGATTGTGATTAATTTTTAGCCAATGTATGTGCTTTTTAGCTATTGTAGTAGCGCCATGCAAGGAAGCGATCTACGTAACGTTCGCAGATATAATATAATCTTAGCTAAAGTTGACGGACACCTGTACGATTTACTGCCAACGCATAGCCCTTACAAAGTAAAGCAACTTTCAACTTGAACGCATTAGCATATAACGCACTATTTTGTAGCTGAAGATAAACCAAACGCTAAATTAAGTATTCATTACTCGACTAATCCCATCGAGCTCCTACCGTCACATAGGCCACCTATCAAATACCTAGCTAGAGTGGGATATTCTGTTTGGTAAGCTACCGTTTTCTACATACTCTATCAGGTTGTAAACAGACTCAAGGTTGATTATTCTTTAATTCGAATTTTTCGAAATATCTTGGCGCTCTGCTGCAAAAACTCTGAGGTGCATAGTTGGACAAAACTGCCTAGCAACGGTGGCATCCCTACACTGCCGTGTCATTAATATTGAAATAGGTATCTACCATATTTTGATGGTTCTTTATAAAACTGTATAGCCAGCAGTACTAACTTGATGAGTGTAAAAAAACTGTTACCGAATATCTTTAGGCTCGTAGATATTCTATAGTTCGGCATCTAATCCAACGAATCCACCTGTTACGCTCTACTCGGATGTCATATAGACAGTACTATACAGACATAATTAAATTGAAAACCGATCTGTAATCTATTATCATCCCAGAGCGTTCATTTACTTATGGGGCACGTCGAGGTAACGTTGAACGATACCGGTTCTGTTTGGAAAAGAGTTTCTATTCGCGGTTGATGTTGTGACACTTGACACAAATGATGGTCATCGATCTACCATTATAATTATAATAATTCATTTTATGACATGATAATTTTCCTTACAACAATGTTACAGCTAGATTGATGATTTGCTTTTGTCGCTAAGGCCGAAGCGATACCGTCGGACAAATATCATGACGTTAATGAATGTACACGTCATCAAATGTACTTATAACTTCAGCGGTTTGGCCGGTGGACATGTAAATGTAAAGGCTTCTCTCGTACGTACTTCTTTAATTTATAGATATCACGTCCTAAGACGACAATCCTACATACATTTGCTACGTACGGGATGTTCAACCACTCGCATCTGGATTGCTTAAAGGCGAATGTTACCGATTTTCTATAATGTAATACGTTAATCTGAGATAATCTACGGAAACATCTACAATATTGTAGAGTTGGCGCATTTTAGAACAGTGTATTCTAAATTTGATTGTGCGATACGGCTGCAAGACAGCCTTGTTGATCAGGCCTCTATTCGTGGCTCTGTCACGGAAGTTCAATGTGTCCTTTAAAAGCCCCGACCATTCGTGTATGTCAAACCCACAGTCCCGGACAGAGGGCGCGAATGAAAAGAAAACAGTAAATCTCTCAAGCTATGCCAGACAGCAGCATCGTGTGCTGCAAAACGGGAAATAGTTTCAGAGCCGTTGATATGGCAAGAAAATTGTAAAAATCGTGTTTGTGAAACTTCTGTGTTGTTTGAGATGAACTATCTCTCCTTAAACGTTCTATCAAATGTTTTGCCCATAGGATCTTCCAGTAAAGCGAGAGATAGACGAACATTTAGCCGGGTTTTTTAAAAGATGGGTAAACAGTGTAATTTTTCCTCATTATCAAACAAGCTTAAACAAATGACGAACTAGCTTTTCGAGTTTATATATCTATATGGTAGATATATGAACTAAACCAGTAGAATTGGAACAAGGCCACAGCTACTTAGGCAAGTAAAAGAAGAAGGGGCAATGACTCGCCCTTTAGAACCCAACCGGCAGAGGCGTCTTTTTCAATGGTTTCGTTATTATAGCGCATTTCGGTAGTAGCTGATGCTAAATTTTATACTGAAGAAAAAAAATTTGTTATGAAAATTAAAAAGCTAGTGCTACTTTTCGCAAGAAAACTGCATTGAGATGTATTTTTGACACGTTCTGATGATATACGATGTGTTTTTTTGTTATTAACATCTTTATTATATTATATTACATTCATGTGGTGAAAATGAAATTTAGAAAAAAAAAAGCTGTTGGTACAATGTCTGAAACGTACATTGACGGCTGAAAAGATTGTGGGCAAATCTGCTACTGTCAAAACTTCAGATGTCTTTGCGTTTTCGTCAATCAGAAATAAGAGCGCTGTACAAGGTCTTGTAAGAGAGGGTCATCTCAAATCGTGCTTGACTTTTTAACAAGGCCATATGTTCTTACTTTCATCTAATAAATAATGCTTTTCAATTCTATATTTGTAATGTTGCCCGTAGTCTTTTTGATCTTGTAATGCTGGGCGTTAAGGCTGTCTAGAATATAAAACGGACTTAAAAGCTTTCTCGGGAAGGAAGTCGCGTCCTATTAAGCTCGTGAGTTTGTAATATCTTCTAATTACTGCCAATAATATGTTAAAGAGAAAAAGAAGCCTTTGGATTCCATACTGAATGTAATAGCTTTAATTTTAGCTCAGTCTATCTTCATTTGAATATTTGCAATGCATTCAATTTAGTGGTGGATTAAAAAAGTGATCGATTTATTTATTTCGATGGTGCTTCGCCATAATACGAAACTTGCAGTAGGTCAGCTTTGTACGTAAATATCAAATATGACTGTCCGCCAGGAAACCTGTGAAAACTTCCGAAATATGTTTCTAGCCAGCTGAGTTCAGTTTTACCTTGAGGCAGCGAAATAGTCGGAAATAGGTAACAGGCCAAAGTCGTAAGTCACGGCGTAATTGTGCTAACAGCACGAAATACTTAATAAGAGAAATGGAACACACGTACAAGGTTACAGGATCACTAAATTATGATAAAGCAGTGCCTGAGCCATCAAGGCAGAATAATTAAATTATCGAAATAATACACTCCATATCCAGTAAAATAACGGTTACTAGACATGATACTATTGAGTAGTAAACTAAAAATAGTATGCGCGCGTATGTATATATATATATATATACGCGCCATTGTTGGGATGACAAAGGTGGTATTCTCTTTAATATGGCTCTTAGCGACGTCGTCGTTATTACTTAGACTATTACGTAGATTTAACAGTTTAGAGCACACTACTTCTGTGTGGATTAAGTGGACGACGGACAGATAAGTATCGGCGTGCATCGTTCTTGCTGTAGGCCTACACAAATACATTGAGTATCCGATATAGCGCTTCAACTTGCTTGGTCCGCCCTTACTAGAAATTGATGCTGCAAGAATAATGTTAGCCTGACACAACGCTAACGTGGGTCCACACCCAAAAACTAAGAACATCCAGTGGTAATTTCTATTACATCACTGCAGCGGTTTCCCTGAATCAGATGGACATTCGTAAGACGAGCAAGACACAGCGGTAATCGTAGCCCCCCGCTACCGTCGACATCTAAGAGCACTGTTAGCGTCGCACGGGAATCGGCATCGGTTGGCGTTCAGTCATCCAGCAACTATCATCATCATCATCATAATCATAATCAGAGGCTTCAGCTAAGCGCGCAGGCGTTCTATTCCAGCTGGTAACAACTATAGAGTGCAGCTACGTAGAAGCTATCCGCCCGGCAGTAGGCAAGCACGCGGCCTGCAGCACTAGCAGCAGCAGCAGCAACAGCAGCAGCAGCAGCAGCAGGCGTAGCAATCACAGCAGGTGCAGGGGCAAAGCCAAACCATCAGATCATCGAGCGGTTTCCGTGGTGATCTTTTCAATCGTCCTTCCAGTTTTCACCATTTCCCTCCCACGCGGCTCGCTCGACTGCAGTAGCGGCGACAGAAGCACGAACAACAGCGTTGACCGCCGCAGTTACCACATCGGCGTAGTCAACAGGTGGCAGTGACGACGATGGAGGCGGCGGCAACGAATTTCGAAAGTGCCCGCCATCGTTATTACCTCCATCAAGATCATCATGCAAATTATCATGTGCATAACCATGGTCAACAGCAACATTTTCATCGTCGTCATTAACAACGATGACGACGGTAACATAATGAAGATGTCCGTGGTGAAAACGAAGGTTGGCGGCTGATTTTCCTTTGCCTAAAGTTCGTTTGCTGTTTTAGCGTTTATTTATTATTATTTTTTTATGTTTGATTGTAGGCTGTAGCGACAACAACGATAACCGCAACAACTAGAGCCAGCCTCCGTCTTGGGCTTGAGTTGTTTGTCAACATCGACTATATGTACGTAGGTCCGGTTGGCGTTTTGGTGACATCGAGCTGGCCAAGACAAAGCGCCGACTCGAGACAATCCCCTGTCTCATATGCGGGAACTGTCATCTCGTTGCCACTGCCATGCACAGCGCATCTATCAACTAATTTGTGACTAATAGATCCATAAGGAATTGTAATAAGTGCATTATTTCTTAACTTCAAACTGTTTTGGTGACCCTCGCATCTACTTCGGTAACAAATCGGTAAGTGAAGACTAGTTATGTGCATGTAGTAGTGTCCTCCGGTATTTGGCCACACTGGCTACAACACACGTCATCATAAATGATCTTCGTCGTTGCTCAGGCTTTCGTTGTTGTTATTGTCGTCATCGATTTCGACATCTTCTTCTCGTAGCTATCAGTTTGTTGATAATCATTCTGTGATCATTCATGTATAATCCTGTTTTATTTATTATTGTGTACGGCTGTTTTGACAATGTTGTTTCTTAATGTAGTCATTTACGATTCCACTATTTCCTGTCGCGTATGATTTCCTTCTCATCATCGCGTCACCATAAGAACTGAGATAGCCCCGTTCTTACTGTCGCGGTATCTGCAGCAGCAGCAGTACAATGGTACATTAATGTTACGATAAAAATAGTTGTTGTTGTTGTTGCTTTGAGGCAGCACCTGCTGCCGATATGGCAGGTGCCGTTGTCATCACCGTACCAACGATGATAATTGTTGTCGATATTTGTCCAATAAATTTGCGATTCGGTCACACTCCGCCATCGACAGTAGGACAATGCGTGTCCGCAATTGTACGTGTAGCTGAGCAGTCGTTGTTAAATTAAGCCGCTAAGAAGGCTAAACTTCATATGTGAACAGATGCGTTTCCCTTGTCTTAATTACGTGAGTTCAGATGGCACGGCAGTTGTTGCTGCTGCTGCTGCTGCTGCTGCTACTGCATTAGCGAGCGCTATCAATGGAAGGAAGGATCGATAGATTGATGAGAGAGTCGATGGATTGATAGGTGGATGGATGCAATGTAACCTATTTCGCCGGGTTGCACGGCGTAAGCCACGCAGACAGCCCTCGTTTACCCTTCGCATTAGATCAGTGATATAAGGGGAGGGGAGGAAGAGATGCGAAGAGAACGAAGAAGCAGATCGAGGTGGGGCAATACGACAGGGCAGTTCCTCTCTTGTATTTGTGATTACGTTGCGCAAATATCAATCTCATCTGCTGCTGTTGTTGTTGTTATTGTCGTCGTTTCGTTTGCTATTGCTACAAACGCCGACGAAGTGATTGCGGTACGAGAAGATGCTTTGAAAAGACTACCGGGTCGGTGGTAAGTTGAGATCAGCCGCCCAGCAGACAAAAAATATGGCCAGTATATATCTATATATATCGAGCAGAAGGACTCTGTTTGTTACTGCTGCTTGACAAGTGCCCTGAGTGGACTGCCGATTTTGATGGAAGATGTTGGCTTTTGTGCCTGTTGGTACCGGTGCCGTTGACGCTGTTTAGGTCAGTGGGGTACAATAGAAGGCTATGCGTAATTCGCGTAGGCTGACCATTAATACGTAGTAATTTAGACGACTAATGAGCAATAGCAAGAGTTAGATGCGTCATTCTGATAATCATGTATATATAGTAATGAATCTAAACGTTGCTTGGCAGGTATTAAAATGCCAGGAAAACAAGTCGCAAGATATTTATCGTTACAAAGGAGACAAACATCGAATCAACAGCCGCGTGCATAGCTTTTTAAGTCTGTCTCCTCCCAAGAGACTAAATGAACTTGAAATAAGTCCAGCGGGAGCCAACGTAGATACCATGTTTTCGTAGGAGGCAACTCCTTGAAACAATACCGAAGCCAAAATGGAGGGGGGATTATTATCACAAGAGAATCACCGAGGAGTGTAATGGCATACAATTACTAGCGTATCATTGTTCGAACTTTATCAACCTTTTGTAACACTGGCGCTTGGATAAATGGAGATCTTGGTGTTCGCTCGTATTGACGTTTTCATTGTACCTTTTTTATATCAATTTGATAGTGCAGCTCTGTTGTACTAATTCTGCTGTCGTTTTATTTTAACACTTGTTCCAAGTCTCATGCACAAATATTTTTTTTTTGTAAGCGGGCGACTCTCCAGTCGTGGAACGTCACTCCTATCAGCATCTTTTCCTCACCGGAGCCGTTTGTAGACCGTTACTTTGCCGAATCGCTGCCGTCAGAACTGCTCAAGCATTATTATCACGCAACTGCTACAAACAATTCTGTATAATTATATTATACCTTCCCGTATTTTTAAGTCACGTATATAAAATTACTGTTTCCTATAATCGTTCACACGAACGACATCAGTTACTTACTAAATAATTGTACTTACTGTAGATTTGATCTTAGCAAGCGACTGTCCCCGTTACAAAGCGACTACGTTATATATTGCACAGCCATGGCACATAGCTAAGTACGCATAATTCGTGTCCACATGTTGTTGATTTGAATTTACTATCTAGCTATAGCTAAAGTCGCATTGAATAGCGACAGAACGTTATACTATCGAGTTCTAGGTTGAATCTATACGCCTGCCCAACATATACATGACATCCTTTCAGGAAAAAGGAATGAACAAGCGGAAAGATTACAAACATCATTTTTGTTGAACTTGTATCTACTTACATAAGGTTTTCCTTTCATCTTTGCATTAGACGCGAAGCGTTTCAGTCGAATCACAAAACACGGTTTTTACGCTTTACTAACTGAAAGAAAATCGACATAGAGATGCGAATGGACCAGCAGATCTTAGGTGTTCGTAACCGTGCACCATTTTGTTTGTTAAGGACTAACCACAACTTTAACTTCTGTATCTTTTCACACCTTTTTTCTTATTGATACCATTTTGTTCTGTTGTTATTTATATGACATGTAAATCATATTGCCTAAAGCTGACCAAAGACCTACTAGCCTCAACGTAGACTCTGCATTAACTGTCCCATAGGTAATAAACCCTTCGCTAGTGAGTTTTGAAATAGTCCAAAGGCCAGTAAAAGGGAAACCCTTTTTAGCTGTCCTCCAAAATCAAATTTTAATATAGTTTCCATGATCTAACGGCCTTTGAAACAATTGTGGCAGTTTAACAACATACTCTGCTTCGACGCGTAAGGCATCTAAGCGTCCGCTGCTGTTGTTGTTGTACGGGTGACGTTGGACGAAATTTGACATGCAATTATGATGCGCAACAGAAATCTCATTGCCGCTATTAAGCAGTATCTATCTATCGCGATTGGTTGACTTTCAACAGCAGAGCAAACTAAATCAACTTAAGTACTTCACACTTTTTGAATAAGAAAAACAACAAAATGGAAACCTTCGATTGCACAAGATATACGCACCGTACGCCTGCAGCAACCGGCCCACATTAGATGGAACGTGATTCGACCCAATGTCACGTTCTATCGTTATCACGGTTCGCGCTATCGTTTTGCTGTCGCCGCAGTTCCTCTGCAGTCGTGGGCATATTGTTGCCTATCTGTACGCTTCGTATTTTTACGGACGTGTGTTCCTGTTTGTTAGAAACAGGAAAATCTATATAATAGTTAGAGTAGTGGTCATTGTGCTAATGATATGATCCTTCCTCGCGTAGATATATGTCCAACTAACCTGCCATGAGTGATTAGATTGGGAGTTCAGATTACTTGTTCATCAGAGATACTCCGTCTTCTTCAAATGATGCCCAACTAAGAGGCAGTGGTAGTGTGGATAGTTACTTTTTCTAACTATAATCTCACCCCTTCCGTATGTAGGGGTTTTCCTTAGCTAGATAAGCACCTTTGGCCCTAGCAGCCTCGGAATGATATAAATCAAGGAAACAGATATTGACTAGAGGTTCGGTGAAGTATTGCGGAGCCCTGATAAAAACTTAATACTGGGTGTGTGTTCACATAAAATACCTGCGTTTGACTTTCGTCCCCGTGTCATTTTTCATTTGCGGCCGATTATTAGAATATGGTGGAATCGTTTTCCACGAAATAGAGTTTTGTTGTACGGCGAAATGTATGCACGATGAAATTTTAAGGAAATGTGGGATAAACTGAAATCTGTGGACGGCTAGTGGAAAAGCTAGCAACAGTGTTAGGCAACTCAATTGACCATACTTTTCCAGCTGGACAGCCACTCTCAACGTGCCGCCCATCGTCTGCTTATGTATAATTAATGTGATGTCGTAAGCAGCAGCAGCTTTAGCTGAATCTGTGACAAGATCATTGAATGAACGTTATTAATGAAAGATGTATTGGCCGCTAGAGAATGAATGGTGGGAAATCTGTGTTAATATGGCAGCTTTTCAAATTGATCGTTATTATTTTGATGTTAGTAAGGAAAGGTAAAAAAATATGGATGGACTGGCGTTGAGTATTATGATGCAGTTTTCCTTTGAACGGGAACGAAAGAGGCCCCAATCAGATAAAAATCGTTCGTAGGATTATTTAAGACCTCTTTCTTTTCTATGTTTATAGATCGAAAGTAAACGACGATGTTAAATGACCAACAACTGAATTTGGCCAAAATACAGGATGGTAAAGCTAAAACGGATCGCAATAAAGGATGGATCCTTTCAACTCTTCAAAAGTGTGCACTAAGCCTTTGATTCAATCAGTTTTTAACGACTATCAAATTCTTGCAGCATTTAAGATCGAAGAAGTTAGTATTACGCTGGATACGAGAAAAGCGCAGACATCGATTATGCCCCTACACTAGGAAAATAACTATAATGGGTGTTTCTATAAATAAATTACACTGCCGATAAGCAGCAATAATCGTCACCATTTACTTTCCGACACTGGCAGTCGAAAGCGGGTTTTGTGATTGAGAGCCTTATGTTCTGGCAATGCGGGTGGAAGGTAATTAGGTAATAATCCATTTGAATTCTGGTTTTCAGCTTTCGTCTAAACAAAATAAAACATTTGCGTGGTTACCATTTGCTTGTAAAATTGCTTTCTGGAAATTTGTAGCCGAATTTTGATCTGCAATTGGCGTCGAACACCGTATGTAACCTGACTAGATCTTGTATATTATCCGCGACCAATGCGCTACGCTAATTTTTTTTGGAAAAGTTTTACACAAGTCCACACAATTTCGTAACGGCCACCCACTCAAAGACTTGGTCAGCTTCTTTCCTTAGAAGCTAGCATTACCTCTATAGCATTTGGCCAACTACAATAATTTCTTCGGTTAAGCAGAGACAGACAGAACT